ATGCTGATTGAACCACATATGCCTGATTTACCTCAAGAATGAAAATGAATTCTCATGTATAATCTTGAGCTCGACTTAAATTTGTTGTCAAAAGTGGTGGTTGTCAATTAAATTTACAAAGTTGACCTCCACATCACCTATGAGATGATTGCCTAGATCGTATTCGATTGTCATCGAAAATTGCTTTTTTGGTACCAGGAAACTTAGAAGCTTTTTTCCAGAAAATGTGTGGTTTCGGGGTGTTCGGGTATTTAATAGTTTTATATAATAAAAGTGAAGCTAAGAGGTTGAAATTAACAATTGCTGGATCATTTTTATATTCATCAAGCATTCAGTTCTAGTTCTTTGAACGCTTTGAAGGTTCATTTTATGAATTCACGTAATATTTAATTGAAAGTATAAAACACATTTTTTAATTGTCATTTCATTAAGTACTAAAGCGTCCTTACACTCTTATCCACAACCATTATGCATAAAGGTGGCTGAATTTATCTAATGCAGTGTCAGATGACCTCCTGCAAGTGTATTTTATGCCTAAATTGATTATCTATACTAAGTGACATAGAAATCCGAACACCCAGTTTAAATGGTTTTATTTTAATAAAAGTTGGTGAATGTATTTGTCTTACTAACTAAATAACAAGTGAAAAAATTTTGAGCCTTATCAGTTGGACATTCCGGTTTTTATACTGCTTTTTTTTAATTCACTAACGCTCTAAAAATGAATATCTCAGCTGCAGTAAAGAATCAGCGTTGGCGGATTTGGGGTGCTATAGCTTATGGTTCCAGGTCACCTTTAATCTTCATCAGAGGTAACATGAACGCGCAGCGTTATATCCACGAAGTTCTAGAACCCCATCTTTTACCCTATCTTGACACCTTGGCGGATCCAACTTTCCAACAAGATAATGCCCGACCACATGTTGCAAGAGTCACAATAGACTTCTTTCAACATAATGATGTCACATTGTTACCATGGCCACCAAGATCTCCCGACTTATCCCCAATTGAGCACGTGTGGGACATGATGGATAGGAGATTGCTCAATTTGCAGCGTCATCCTCAGACTCTAGAAGCACTTCGAGAGGAGTTGTTGGTTGCCTGGAATGAGATACCACAGGAAGACATTGACCACCTGATCAGAAGCATGCCTAGGCGCGTTGGAGAATGCGTAGCACATCAGGGTGCATCCACACATTATTAAAGGTCAAAGGGCTTTAAAGCAGTGCAATCATTTTGAAATTTTTATCATTTACTTATTATGCTTCATTAAGTACTTATACAAAATTTTATTAAAATAAATAAATAAACTGGGTGTTCGGATTTATATGTCACTTAGTATATATAATAAGAAAAGATACTGCACCAATATCAGGTAAGGGTAAATACAAATTGTTTTATTTGTTTACGGAAATTTGCAGGAGAGATTTCCTTGTATTTACCTGGTAAAGCATTGTAAAGTATGGCAACATTATACGAAAAACAACGCTTGAAAAGTGTCATAGAGTGAGGCGGTATTCTGATTATTTTACTGTCTCTTATGCTCCTGCTATGAACTTCATGACTAAATATAATCTTACCTCTCAAATAAGCGGGCCTTGGTTCGTCATGAACTGGTCGAGAGATGGATAGTAAAGAATATCGCAATAATATAAGATTGACATAACAAGAGACTCACACAATTTTTTCCTTAATTTATAATTTAGAAGATGGCGATTGGCAAACAATGCTCTCATTCTGGCATATATCTTTTTAGTTAATGACAGCATGGCCCGTAAACCTTAATTTGCTGTCTACTTCAACCCCTAAAATCTTAGCAGAATGTGTTAGTTCTAACAGTGAACCATTTAGATGAACTTTAAATGAATTTTCCAAATGTCTTCTCTTTGCTTCTGAGCAAAATAGTAATATTTGCGTTTTATCTCGATTTATTGTTAGATTGTAGTCACTTGAATATTTTTGCACTTTTCCCAGATCCTGCTCTAATAGAACAGCAGCATCTTGCGAACAAGAGGTGTCCAAATAGTATATAAGTTGAGTGTCATCAGCAAAAGTTTGTATGTGCAATATATGATAGAATATTATCGGTAAACTAGTTTAAGTCATCGTTATTGACAAAGTATCAAGGCCTTTTGCATCTGATTTTAAATTATTTATAGTCAAGTCAAAAATCTCCTGGGAATTTTCAAGGAAAAAGATTTTGTAGGATTCAACCTATTGTTTTTATAAAATCTGCATGTATCTTCCGGTACACTGTCAGCACTATTCAAGTCACCATTATCAAAAACAGGCTAGAAAAGTTAAGTTGACATGGATCTTTACAATATCCGATGGACCTTGTGTTGCAGTATCTCTAGGTATAAGGTGGAAGCTATTTGATGAACCTGGGCAAACGGCGTGTCGGAGTTCACAGCTTAGTCGTTTACGAGCCAGCAAGCCGTTTCTTTTTATAAATAGCCCCGCAGTGGCCGTAAATTTCCGTAAAGCAGCCTGTAAAGGACCGTCACTCACTGCGCAGCGTTCATAAAGCGAAAAGCGCACGTGTCGCAAATGGCCTTATAAAACTCCGCAACTGCCTAACTAAATAGCTAAATTTTGATTAAGGTCATGTCTCAACGTGTACACGTTACGACCGCTGCCGCTGTTTACGTTTATCTAGATGGCGCTGGAACTTGCTTGAGTTCCATTATGCAGCTCAAGCTTTATAGTCGAAATCCTTGCAATTTTCTGACCGGACTTTTTTCCCATTATCACGTTAATCCTTAATATAGATCAGGTGTATGTCAAAAAAGATTCTCAGTAGTATTAACCCAGACTTGCAGTAGTTGGTGAATTAATTAAAAGCTCATGCTTGCAGTCAAAAAAATGACAGTGCCTGCTATCTGCGCCCCTATCCACACTTTTCCAAAGTCGTAGGGCGACTGCTGCATTACTGTTGCTGGGGAAGGGATGTTGACGATTTAATAAAATTGAAGAGCCGGGAGCATGGACTTTTCTGCAAATTTTTCTTTTTGTCTGTGATCTTTTGGCCCCCCATGGTCCGCCGCTGCTAAATATTGAACACTTCGCTTTTATTGCAAAAATATGAACGGATATATTCCGACAGCAAAATGGAATTTCTCTATTGTGCTAGCGTCATAAAATAGCCCTTTAACGTTATGATGTGTAATAATACGTATCCGCAAAGTCAACAATGACAATATTTAACCAACACTCCAGTGGACAATTCCAGGTAATAGATGATCTAACAGTATGTATATAATGCCCGCGTACATTTTCGCATGCATTAATTATGACTGTAACATGTTAAACGTGGAACTGAACAATTGAAATATGCATATTACTCTAGACTAGTAAGCTTAAAAATATTTGCTACTGGAAGTGAATTGGAGATTTTTATGTTTGTGAATCGATTGTGCATGTTTTGTCATACTCAACATATTTGAAAAAGTCACAGTGACAAAGCATAAATAATAAGTACTGCAGTTGTTTGATCAAGTCCCATCTATGTCCAAGTTTCTTCAGACGTACATCTGCAAACGATACTCGAGTGGCTATTTATTATCGTTAATGACATTGTTAATAATAGTCAGGGATAAATTAAAAAGACAAAGAAATGATAGTAAATGTTTATTATAATATAGCATATTTCATGAACAATACTGCTTAATTGATAACTTTGGAAGATGGACAATACAAATTTCTCTTCATCAAACAGCAACAAGGGTGGAATACCTGATATTGGAAATAGTGGGATACCTTGAACGGATTACAGAGCAGAACAGAAATTCCTCCTATTGCGTCATTGCCACCATAGATGCTTAATAGAAAGAATTCAAGTATTTTAATTAGTTTGATATTCATAGTTTTCGTTGTGTGTAAAATGATATTGCAAAATTATTACTTATAACGCGAAAGTATAATATCTCCTGAGAACTATGAGACTCAAAATTGAGGTAGTTAAAGCTTGAAGCTAAATTTCCAACATCTATCACTAAAGGTTTGTCTCTGAGTGCTCAATGAAGCAGGTAAAAACCCAATGTTGCGGTGCATACCCTTTCTGAACACCGACGACTGATACAACACTTATCGATAAAAAGATTTACCATTATTCAGATAGACGGCCTTTTGCTTCATCAAGCCATCGTTGGCTGTCAGAGCGGTCCGTGGGACCTTAGCTCTTGGGTCACAGTGTCAGTTTGTAAGTCTGTCAGGTCTGGTAACCCAGAAACCAGACAATTTTAAGGAAAAAGGGAAGGAAAGGAGAGAAGGAAGAACGAGAGCAAAGGGGAAGAAGAGAATCTTTTAGGATAAGCAGCGTTTAGGCATTGTTAAAATCGCTTCACAGATTTTGATATGGTCTAAAAATATTCGATTTTTTCTAAAGATTTTGTCAAAATGCTCCAATTTTGGTTGTTCTAAGTTCACGAGTTAATTTTGATTACAGTGCGAGCCGCCGCCTTTTGTGCTTGCGAACATGCTCGACTGTGTAGTCCACTGACTCACGCAACAGAGGGTTGCTGTGCGATTCCGCTAGGCTATAGCACCGCTGCGCCTGTTGCTTAATGTAGTCCTTTAGGTAAGGGACATCGAGATCTCTATGTAGAGTTTCGTTAGAGACATAACATGGGGCATCAGCAATAGTGCGCAAGGCCCTGCTTTGCAGGACATGCAGATTTCACATGTGTGTTTTAGCAATAAAACACCAAGCCGCACGTGCGTAAGTCATTGCTGGTCTTATGACCACCTTATAGAGTGGAATCTTGTTAATCAAACTTAATTTTGAACGTTTACATAATAATGGTTAAAGCTGTCGAAACGTAATTTGGAATTTAGTTTTTAGTGCTTCTATATAGTTCCGCCAAGACATCCCTTTGTCCAGAATGACACCGAGATACTTAGCGGAGGATTCCCATGGTATACAAAGTCCATTCATTGAAACTTCAGACGGAACGATTTAGAAAATGAAACAAGAAATCGATATCAACATTTAATTCTAACGGCAAACTTCGTTGTTTTCTAATACATTCGGTTATTGCTTCGATGCTGCGTTTTGCTCCATGGTTCTGAAGAACATGCAGTAGGAAAGTGCTGACTTCACCAACTAAAATAAATAAAAACTATTTAGTTATTCTACGTTTTTCAATAAGAACGTTTTTAAAGTAATAACCGACTGCGGACATCGTGTCACGTGACATATGTTCAACGTCAGATAGTCCTGAGCGTGTCGGCGTTGTTTGTCACTATTTCCATAGGTAAATATGCTTATTGTGAGTTGTGCCTAGTAATTAGGTTTTTAAACGCAACAATTTATCCTGCTAAAATCCACCAGCAGCCTGTTGAATTACGCGCGCTTTTCAAAACTGCCGGCCTACTTCACGATAACGCTCGACTTTGCAGCAAGGACACCATAAGACTTATAATTTTTTTCCACATCTAAAGGAAATTGTTGGTGTAAATCGCTTGGGAAATTATAACATGTAAACGATGGGTTTTTCATCAATGAAACAGTTTCTTACCACCATGAACATATCCAAGTCCAGATCAAACTGTATGAAACCTGCAGCAGATAAGGCATATTTTTTCTGAGTTCTAGTGAAGAATATGAGAAAGTCTTTAGACTTGCGATCCAAAACCAGAGTTTCCCATTTACTTAGATATATATTTTGGGTAACATCTTCAATCTAGGACAATAGAAAATATAAAATATAAGTGAGAACGCTTGCCTCTGCAGTAAAACAACACTGCTTGTTAAGTCACGTATTCATGTTCTTTAGTAAATAATAACTTGAGAGATATGAAGAATTAGCGCTGGCAGGATTCGAACCCGCATCTCCATTCCGACCAATTCAATCCTACCCAGGCCACTTGGTGTCCCATCTGGCGGCGTTCTAGTAAATCAAACCGGATCCGTAAGGCATCTTCAATCACTTTCTAGTTTCATCACGCTGCCTCGTGGGCACACACCACGATACCACGATGTGAGGACAGTACTACAACTAGAAAGCGGCTGGAGATATCTTACCAATCTGATTTGTTCTACTTGATTGCTGCCAGATGGGACATCAAGGCAGCATCCGGAAAATCGTATATATTCACTTTCTTGTAAACATATTCTAGAAAAGTAAGTTGTGAGCCCAATACTACCTACCTCGTTGCTGAGGGCTTGACCAAGGTTGGAATAACAATATCCTACAGCGTAAAGAACTATTCCAATGTGAAGGATTCTCTCCACTACCTGTTGGTTGTTTTTGTGTCTGAAAATTACACAATCGAACAAAACTCAGTCGATGAAAACCGATTCAGTTGAATGGAACCTACATATCCAGTTGTTTGGCCAGAATCCATAATACCTTATATTATATGTTGGTCGTAGATACGAAATTTTGCGTACACTCCCTTCACCATAGCACTACTTTTTCACTTATTTTTTTGGGGAGTATTTGCAGTATTTGTTGTATTGCGTGTTGAAAAATACTTAACCTCTGCATATGTTTCATAATAAAGGTAATAGTTTCATTTCGCGTAATCTGTCAATATTGTCAATACTGTTGTTTTCATATACGGGGTGGCGCATCGAAAACGAATCAGACGCATTTACTGCCAGCTTAGTTTTTTTTTTAGAAAAACGCTCAGACCCATAGATTTTGTTTTCGAGGGGGACACAAGTTTGGCAAAAATCACGTTAGCACGTGCAACTCCCTAAGCGGGGGTGACACCACCCCCAAAATCTTAAATGGAAAAGGGGGTCGAGTGATACCTTATTTTAAAGGTCTTTCAATTCCCTTTATATTAATATAAAATTAATGTACTTCAGTTCAGTAGTTTTGAAGATTTATTGATTTAAAGCTTAAATAAAACTAATACATCATCATTAGTGGAGATTAATACATTTGGCAGCAAAGTAATTTAAAAATTAAGAATGAACTGACCCGTTAGGCAAGTAAATGTTGAAAATGGCCACCATGACTCTCCATGAAATAATAAAGATTTTGCTCAAAACGTTGCCGCGTATTTTGCAATATTAGAGGAGTAATTTGAAGGTACTCATTCACAATTCTCTGTCGCAGGTCTTCTAATGATGTTGGCTGAATAGCATAGATTTTGCTTATTAAATGACCCCACATAAAGAAATCCAAAGGTTATAAATTTTGCGATCATAGGGGCCATTCAATGGCACATCTTCTACCAATCCATTGATCTGGAAACGTCTGATCTAAATATTGTCGAACATGTAATGCGTAATGTGATGGGGCACTATATTGTTGGAACATCAACCTATTCGCGATGTACCGCCGATCATTCTGATTTTCAATTATGGCTGTTAATGCAGGATCTATGGCGTCTTCCAGTAATTCCAAATATATTTCACCGGTCAAATTTTCAGGTAAGAAAAAAGGACCAACTAAATGATTGCCAAAAATACCAGGCCCAAATATTTAATTTTTGTGGTTGCTGTGTATTCTGGGATTAGTATCGGACCAATATCAGCAGTTATGACGATTTACTACGCCATTTAAGAAAAAAGAACGTTAGTCGGAAAAGCAAGTATTGAATAGAAAATGTTCATCGTTTATAATTCGTTCACTCATATCTTCACAAAATTGTAATCGCCGATCAAAATCGTCTTCATTAAGTTCTTGTACCAGATGAATTTTATACGAATGAAAACTATGGACCTTTATAATCCGTTGGACAGTACGTCGACTAACACCACACATAGTCTCCAATTTGCGGGTACTTTACGTAGGATCTACATAAACTTGCCAAGTAAAACCCCCACCTCTATTCCTTCGTCCCTTATGGGATTTTCAATGTTGCGTTTTTTATTGGCCTTTGAATCAATAAATCTTCAAAGCTACTGAACTGAAACTCATGTATTTTACATCATTATAAAGGGAATTGAAAGACCTTTAATAAGGTATCACTCGACCCCCCTTTCCATTTAAGATTTTAGGATTGGTGTCACACCCGCCCAGGGGGCTGCACGTGTTAACGTGATTTTTTGCCAAACTTGTGTCCCCCTCGAAAACAAAATCGACGGGTCTGAGCGTTTTTCCAAAAAAAAAACTGAGTTGCCAGTAAATGCGTCTGTTTCGTTTTCGATGCGCCACACTGTAGATTATAGACCATGGGTTGATCGGTTACCTTTCTTTTCAGAAGGGTGTTTAATGAGGTTCCACCCAAATTGAGATTAATGTTGATGGTGGACCTTGAAGCACTGCTAGATTAAATCTAGAGTCAGTTCCTACTAACTTTCACAAACTATTGACAAATACAGTGATGCTATCAGTCAATGTCATAATACTCACTCCATGATTATGTAAAAACTGGCACATGTTGATAACATCGAAGCTACGATCATAACCAAAAATGCTTTGTCGAACGTCTTGCAAACACCATTTGAAAAACTGGAAATAAGATTAATCGCATTAATACGGCAGTGTTTCGTCAACGTGAATTTGTACTATAATTAATTATAAAAACTTAAACACTTTCGAAACTCTCTCTTTCTCTGTAAAAAAGTTGAATTCAAACAAATTGGATTTTTTAGAAATGTTTGTCGGCGTACTAAGTAGTGAACCGATTAAGTGTATCAACGAAACCCCCTTTCCCCCTCCTATAGTCAGAGTCAAACACCAGGAAATATATACGGAAGCACGAAAGGCCTAGTAGGCCCATGGCTTGGAAAGTGAGGTTCTTTCATTTTCCTCTATCGACTGCCTTGTTCTTCTGTTTATGCACCCCTATTTTTCGTATTGTCTCTCTTGTACTGTTGTATCATTAATGTGAATTTTATCCTCCTTGATATCCCTTAATTTTGCCTTTTTCTTCATAACTTTACCCTTTTCTAACTGATTCTCTAGCTCCAGTAGACACGTTTTTGGACCCAGCTCAGTTGAAGTCTTTATTTTGTTTTCTATTTTTAAATGCACCTTGATAAAACTCTCCATCTTTTCTTTAAGCACTATCTGATCATATGTGTCGATTACGAACCTGATAACTACATTATTTTGCTTTCTGTGTTTCTTCATATTTTTCATACCTTCTCGCAAATCAACTATGTCTTCTTTCATCTGCTCATTATCTTCTTTTACCTTTTTACTTTTTTAAATCTATATTTTCCATTACGAGGTGTTCCACTAGCGCATGTACTCCTGTTGATCTTTCTTTATCTGCTTAATGTCGCTGGCTTGGCTGCTTACCATTTCCAAATTTTCCTTCTTCATTTTTACTTCTTTTCTGTTGCCATCGTTGACACCCCCACCAGGAAAGCGTTAATTAAATGCTAGGTAAGGTTATATAACTGTCTTTTACTCTGTGATCTACACAAACTACTACATACAGAAAGCGTGATTACAAAACTGGACTGTTAATGAGTCATTTCAAAAGTTTTTCTCCTGGGCAGCAAGCAAGTGCAAGAAATGTTTGGCAAACTTTATAATGCAAAACTCACTATAGCTTCAATTATATTAAATATAAATAAGTTTGCTAACATGAACTTGACGTTTTTATATTACCAATCAATGATATATAGGGTGTCCTGGAAGTTGGGACTTTCCTCTTCAGAAGCAACCACATTTGAAATAATTAAGTTAATTTGCGGTAAAACAGCACCAAAAACGTGAAAACGAAATTGAAATATAATACTCACTTTTCATTTGGAACGGCCTTTTAAATACTGTCGTGCCATATGTTTTATTTGTATTATTATTAGAAGTTGTCACTGTTCGACTGAAAACCACGAGTTTGCTTACTCCTTCCTAAATTTGCAACATTTGAGGCTTTAGGACTTTTACTGTGTCCATCCAGTTGGCGTTTGCGCTCTATACGACAGCGATTATTGCCTGTCGCTCTGTAAAGTTCCAACTTTGAGGATACCCCGTATATATACAAAACTTACTCAATGATCAAACTGTAATGATCACAACATCTCTTAAACCTCTGCCTGAAAACCTTCGTGCTAATAGGAAGGCTTTCTTTGGTATCAAACAGGGCCAGGAGCTCAGCGTTCAACATCTTAACCTGCATGGTGAGCAGGGTAAGAATAGTTCTTATTGTGACATCACAAGCGTTGAATCCTAATGTCATATAGATGTATATCACATCGATAAGCAAATAGTACAGTTGTTGGGGAATCCAATGGGGACGGTACACTCCTGATTTTGTCTCGCCGTATATGTATAGCTTCGCTACTGCGCAGGCTGAAATAGAGATATGCAAAACTTCAATGACATCCCTATACCTACTGTCATAAATGAGAAAGCGGATGTTTGTTGAAATGGCTGAACGGATCTAATATGTTCGGTATAGAGACAGGTACCGTTCATACCAGAAAATAACTCTGAAATACATGACAGCTTATTGAAGTTTGACATAAGCTATCTGGCACGGAAGCACTCAGTCGCTGGTTATACCGAAAAGAGGACGGGTATATGAATAGGGCATCAGCGTCGAGCAGTTACAGTTGTTTTACTTCTAGTACTGAGAATAAATAGTTATTTATCATCTCTAATGCTGCAAGGCGGGTAAGGTCCATTTATCTGTTATCTAGCAAACTCTAATGCTGTGTTAACCTGTGACCATCAAGCGATACAGGCATCTCTTCCCCGCTGTCACGCGCGACTTCTCACGCTTGAAAGTTTTACTAACTCAGATAAACTAAAACTAAAAAATAAAACGTCCGATTACGTTTTCTATCTTTAATGACATGAGTAAATTGACAGACAACTTGCATGCCTGGGTAAGACCTTGAGGCAGCAAGCTAGTACAAAAAAATATACTAATATGCAGATTGCTCTCTTATTTGAGAATGCCACTGCGAATCTCTAGAATCACAGTGAATAATCCGTATGATTTCTAATCACAATAAACGCCAAAAGGTTGGTGTCGTATTTCCTGATAATATCGCATTCATTTAGTCATACAAGTGTCGATTAGACCAATTTTATATACGTATAATATACTAAGTGACATTTAAATCCAAACACCCAGTTTAAATGGTTTTATTTTAATAAAATTTTGTATAAGTACTTAATGAAGCATAATAAGTAAATGATAAAAATTTCAAAATGATTGCACTGCTTTAAAGCCCTTTGACCTTTAATAATGTGTGGATGCACCCTGATGTGCTACGCATTCTTCAACGCGCCTAGGCATGCTTCTGATCAGGTGGTCAATGTCCTCCTGTGGTATCTCATTCCAGGCAACCACCAACTCCTCTCGAAGTGCTTCTAGAGTCTGAGGAGGACGTTGCAAATTGAGCAATCTCCTACCCATCATATCCCACACGTGCTCAATTGGGGATAAGTCGGGAGATCTTGGTGGCCATGGTAACAATGTGACATCATTATGTTGAAACAAGTCTATTGTGACTCTTGCAGCATGTGGTCGGGCATTATCTTGTTGGAAAGTTGGATCTGCCAGAGTGTCAAGATAGGGTAAAAGATGGGGTTCTAGAACTTCGTGGATATAACGCTGCGCGTTCATGTTACCTCTGAAGAAGATTAAAGGTGACCTAGAACCATAAGCTATAGCACCCCAAACCATAACTCCAACAGTGTGATGAACATGTCTGTCAACAAAAAACTGTGGATTCCTCCTTTCACCACGTCGCCTTCTAACCCTGGCACGACCATCGTGCATGCCTAAACAAAATCGAGACTCGTCACTAAAGACAATACTGTTCCATTCCTGATCCCAGAGTGACCGTTGTCTGCACCACTCAAGGCGATTACGTCGGTGTTCTCGAGTTAAAGGGAGGACCCAGTGTGGCCGGTATGAAAACAAGCCAAAACTTCTCATACGTCGGTAAACACTTCGCATGCCAATAGGTCTTCCGTGTTCTGCAAACCATTCATTTGCAATGGACCTGGTAGTGGAGAAACGGTCCCTTAAGGCCAATAATCTTAGGCGGCGATCTTCATGGTCTGTTGTTCTACGGCGGCGTCCAGTGCCCCTTGCTCTTTGCGTACGGCCTTCTCGAAGCCATGCCTGACAACACCTAACCACAGTGTCTACACTTCTTTGCACTCTAACTGCAATTGCCCGAAAAGAAAGTCCAGCTTCCCGAAGTCCCACTATACGACCCCTATCAAACTCACTAAGTTGACGAAATCGTACAGGTCTCCGTACTCTAAGCATCGTAACCGATCGTAAAGGATGTCAAGAACCAAAATCCGCCAACGTTGATTCTTTACTGCGTCTGAAATATTCATTTTTAGAGCGTTAGTGTATTAAAAAAAGCAGTATACAAACCGGAATGTCCAACTGATAAGGCTGAACATTTTTTCACTTGTTATTTACAGTAAGATAAATACATTCACCAACTTTTGTTAAAATAAAACCATTTAAACTGGGTGTTCGGATTTATATGTCACTTAGTATAATAGTCTCTCAGCGAGTCGTACTTTTGCACAAGCAGTGGCAGGGAATCAAAAATCTTAAAGAAACCTACTCTGTCATTCAATGGCAAATTGGTATAGACAAGAAGTAATAACATGTCTTCTCACTAGTAGCTTTATTCATACAGCACAGACTGTTATTTTCTACCCGCATGTAATACACAGCAAAATTATAATCCCTAGCATCTGTCAGTTCTGAAAGATTCATTACTACCCCTTTTTCGCTTATATGAGAATTATATGCGGGTTTTAAAAAAGACATGAAAACCTTGCAATGTATAATTTTCAGGTGAACACAACTTCGTAGCAGGATTACTGTTATTTATCGAAGTATTCCTAACGTCAGATGAAATGATCTGTCTCAAGCACCAGCATGATAACATTTGGATGACATAAAAACCAGATCGAATTTTAATACACGTATGTTGTTTCATCCACAAGGCAACGGGATTTTCTAAACTGGAACCTCATTCATGATACCTTATGAAGAAAAAACACATTGAAAGTTGGCCTACACGACTGCTGTTTTATTCCTAGGGCGTTGAGACTATGGAACAATGTACCTGAGGACAGTTCTTCCAGTTCTGCTAGCCTTAGGCTGTTTAAAAATCGTATCAAGTCATCCTGCGCGGTACCCTATGTTTAGGCGTTACCTTTGCTGCTTCCTTGCTCTAAAAATGTGTGTTGGATATGAAAATAACTACCTGAGAACGAAAAAGATAGACAAGTGTAGAATTGTCTACCAATCCTCGTGCGTTTAACAGTTTTTTCATAGTTAGGAATAGGCCAAAATTCTGTGTTTGTGATATCAAACAGCTCCTTGATCTTTTTTCGGTTGAAAAACATCACCGTTGTCTTACTTAGTGCCTGAAAATGAAAATGTTGATAAAACATACTACGTGTCTTCATACAGTACAGTATGCAAAGCTTCATCCTTTGGTAATTATTTAGAAAAAGCTTGTGATAAATGAGCTTTTATCCTTCAGTGATGCCCGATTTTAATTACTTACATGAAAGAGTGTAGTAAAATTCGATATCCTTTCAACAACTTCCTGCAAAGTAGCGCCACCTTTATCAACGAAATTCCACAAAGTAAGAAACGGGAATCCAATCAGCAAACAACAAGTTATGAAGAAGTGAAATATCTGCCTCGGTGTGAAGCCTGTCGCAGGACTGCTGCCCAGAAAGCTGCACACCTATAAGGAAAATAAAATAGCTTAAGTCGATCTATCTTGAAAGTAGTAACTAATAAGTAGATCGTGAAATGATAAGGATCATCCCATATCCAATCTACTGCCAAAAGAAAGACCGTCAACCCAACAGTACTTCGAACCACTTCACAAGTTCTTTCTCTGACTATGGATCCAAGCTAGGCAGCTTTTAAATAATCTAATAATTCTTATTCTTGATTCGTCAGGAGATCGGATATTACTAAAAGTAAACTAGAAAAGCGTTAGATAAGGTTGATGATGAGTTAATCCTCTTCAAGGAGAACAATGTGATTAAATCAATACTTGAATCTTGTCAATTGAGATACAAACAGGAAATATTGTCATTAACTTTCAGCGTACAGGCTTTTATTCGGTAGTAGACTGCATAGAAGGTTTCAAAAGAGATCACTTCACCAACACCTTCAAAAGTTGCTTTAAGTCTAGCAACTTTGTGCTTGTTGTACATGCGCTATATCAGTTTTAGCTCCAAGATAAGATAATTTGATAGTTCATTTCAACTACGTCTATTGGCTACAAAGCTACTGATTACCTAAAATACTCTCTGTTAGTACAGTTATTTGAGATGACACTATCATTTGGAGTCGAAATATTATGTTTGCTGTGGTTCATGGTTTTTGGGATGTCCCTACCTGGGCTTTTATCAAATTTTCCGGTGGTCTTGACGAAGATTGACATCTGACCTGAAATAACTTAAGCTACTATACTACAACTATTTAAAACTGTAATGACTCATACGCGTGATCAACACGTGATCAGAGCTCGATCCCGGCTTCCTTCCAGTACAGCCGTATAGCGTACGACTTATGTCGTTTCTGTGGCTTTGCGGTGGTCAACTACACAGACAGAGATGGAAATAATGGCTGATTGTTCTCCGCCGGTAGAACCAATGAAATCAAAGACGCGCCTCGACCGTCAGACTTATAGGCGTCGGCAACGCATTGGAACGTGTTTCGTTGAGCGATCGCATATTGTGTGTTTTTATAAGAATTGTAGTGTGATTGTTATTGTTGTGGTTTCTGTGGTTACTGTTTTGGTTATACCTGGAGAGTACAAATGGCACGAGTGGAAGTACTGAAAGCCAGGGAACAAGTAGACGGCTTCGTAAAGCACTGAAGAGGGATGCGAAAGAAATCGTGCTCAACGTGTTCAATTATCTGAACTGAACTATGTCGCAGGGAGATGCACTCGCGCGTTGTGAAAGTATGACAGGCATTCCAGAGTGGACCATTCGCAGGGTGGTGCATGAAAAGAAGAAAACTGGAGCTACTACTGATCCAAAGTTTAATTTGAAGGGACGAAAGGCCGTTGAGTTGGATGACGATAGCAAAATGGCGTTAAGGCGAACCGTGCATTCATTCTTCTTTAGGAATGAGATACCAACCCTCAAGGCTGTACATGCAGCGATCAAGGAAAATGAAATTATACCCCAAATGAGCGTCGAGGTAATGAGGAAATCCCTGCACGAAATTAATTTTCGTTACGAAACGCGTAATCGAAAGTCAGTATTGATAGAGAGACCTGAAATAGTCGCCTGGCGTCGAAAATACCTACGCGAAATGATTGAATATAGGCGACAAAGCAGAAAAATCTATTATTTGGACGAGACATGGGTACATGCAGGTCACACAGTTAAAAAAACCTGGATAGACAAAAACGTAGTGAGTAACCGACAAGCAAGCATTGAAGGTTTGTCAACAGGTCTTCGTGGACCGTCAGGGAAAGGTCAAAGTTTGATCGTAACTCATATTGGTAGCGATAGTGGCTTTTTAGAAGAGTGTGACTTGATTTTCGTCTCTAAGAAAGGAGGTGATTACCATGACGAAATGAATGCCAGCTGCTTCGAGAGCTGGTTTCAAGGGGTGCTTCAGCGAGTTGAGCAAAATTCTGTGATCGTCATGGATAATGCTTCCTACCATAGTCGTCGAGCCGAACGTGTACCGACTATGGGATCTCGAAAAAGTGACATGCAGCAGTGGTTGCGCGAAAAAGGAATTCCGTTTGACGATTCGTGTGTGAAAGCGGAATAGTATGAAAAAATTAAACAGCACAAACCTGCGAACATTAGTTACGTGACTGATGAGATGGCCGTCAATGTGGTGTCACTGTGCTGCGGTTACCGCCCTACCACTGTGAACTGAACCCAATAGAGCTCATCTGGGCTCAAGTGAAGGGTTATATTGCGCGCCATAACATAACCTTCAAATTACCAGACGTTAAGGTTTTACTTGAGACTTCCATACAGCTAGTAACGCCCGAAGCTTGGCAGAATCCTATCCGTCATGTTGTGAAGGAAGAAACAAAAATGTGGCAGCTTGACCACCACATCGACACCATCATAGAGCCAGTTATAGTCAATTTCAACGAGGAAAGCGATAGCGACAGTTTATTACTGTCAGATGTAAGTGGAAGTGACGATGAATAAAGGTAATTCCCAAATTTTTGACTTACAATATGTTTCAAACCACTCTTTATTAAGCATGTGACAAATCTAGTTCACCCATGTTAAACATTCATACCCCGCCTATGAACAGCCGACTACTGGTAGCTAAGTGATGTTCACGTGAAACATCGATGAGTCATTACAGTTTTAGATAGTTATAGTATAGCTACTATCTACTCTTCTCAAGTAATACGGTTGCGTACTATACTTAGTTGATTGTGGCATGCGATGTGTGACAAGTTGCACCATCCTGCTGAAACCAAACATTCTCCACATCAATACCATCAAGAGCAGGAACAAAAAAGTTATCATGGTGCGATAGGTGTTTCCATTGACAGAAACGGTTGCGCCGTCCCCGTCTTCAAAGAAATATGGGCCAATGATGCCTCCGCTCCACAATCCACACCAAACAGTCACTCGCAAGGGATGCATTGGCTTCTCTAAGACCTCGTGTGGGTTTTCCGAGCCCCAGATACGGCAATTTTGCTTATTGACGTAGCCACCAATATGAAAATGAGCTTCGTCTGAAAAGATTATTTTTTTCGCAAAATCGACATCATTGATTAGTTGCTCGTTGGCCCATGTAGCGAAGGCAGAACGAAGTGGATGGTCACGCGGCTTCAACTCTTGAACCAATTGAACTTTGTAAGGCGTCATACCGAGATCTTTCCGCAAAATTCGTCGTAAACTGGTGCGGGAAATGTTCAATTCTTGGGAACGATGACGTGTTGACGTTGATGGATTTTCACGCACACTCGCAGCCACAGCATCGATACCTTCGGGTGTACGCACTGTACGAGCACGCTGACGTGTTGGAGCATCAACAATGAAACCAGTTTCACGCACTTTATTAATAAACTTGCGTATACCGGGCGCTGTTGGTGCTTCGTTGCGACCGAATTTTGAACGGCATTTTCGTGCAATTTCTGCCCAATTGTCTTTGTGTTTGGAAATAAATTTCCAATATTACCCAACGTTGCTCAAGCGTAAATCGATTCATTTCGTTCAGCGGATATAATACTGAATTTTATGACAAGTCAGATTGACATAAGTATTGTCAGCGTCAAATTAACACGTGGTTCAAATCGAAACCGATAGATGGCCCACCCTAATTACTAATTTTTGATTAAGCTTCATATCTATCATTGCCTCCGTCCGAGTGCTCTTCATTTCTCGTTTTTCGCTCTCGCTTTTTATGATACAATTTCCAATATACTCTTATTAACTAATAAGTCTCCACTCAACTGCCTCCTACTGACAATGCAATGTATGTTCTTCAGATTCTACTATTGCTCTGCTGCTGATCAGATCCAACTTGACTTTGTGCATGTATTCTGGCAGCGCTTAGCTGAGCGAGTTTCAGAGCACTCGGTGGCGCACTATCTGTTACGCGGACCTATCAACATACGATAAAATATATACACAAAAAGTCAACAATATCTCTAAAAATGGATGAAAAATCCAAATAAGTGACAAGGCGAAAAAATACTTTTTTACTCTCGTTGCCTAAATGATGTAAGCACTACTAAGAGGTGGAGCACTACTAAAAACTACCGATGAATTCGGGAACCAAAGTTTCCGTGTTTGTGAAGCATCTTCGACCGACGGAAGGTCGATGAATGCTTCTATTGACGATACTCGTATTTTAAGAACCATAGAAGTTTTGACCTGACTAAAATAAACAATGGCTTACCCCAATGATCCACTCTAAGTCCGGATAGTACGGCATCCTGGATGTTAATGCCGTCCCTTCGTCCTCACATTGCCACTTCGAAACGTCACAGTGATGAATATTTCATATGAGAATCAAAGTGAGAAAAGTCGGATGCTTTGTAATTTCAGGCAAAAACAATACTTTGTTCTTCGATTCTGATAAATCATTTAGTATCTGAGAGAATTTTTTATTATTACAAGTGCGGATGTTGTACATGTTGTTAATTTGTTGTACTTACGACATTTGTAATAAGAATATGAAGTACTTTCCAAAGAAACAGTAACGTTGATTATAGATGTATGGAGAAAGTTTGTGTTACAACTTGTAGCAATCAAGGATCTTGTACGAAACAAGTGAAAAATGTAACCCAGTCGACTTATTTAGAATTTTAGTATGTATGGCCATTAACTACCCGAACAGATTTCTCATAAGTCCGCAGAAGTCTCATGTTTGCAATCCACGATATAAAAGGATGAAGATTACCAGTTTTGCAATAACAGTAACAGCTTTGGAGCTGAAACTGATACCTGAGGAACATCCACGTTGGACTGGTGAAAAGGAGTACATGTCAAATACGGTGAATATTTTAATAACGGAGTGAGAAGGAAGTCAAACACCCATTTGCAATGCTTCTCTGGAAGGACATAAGACGTAAGTTTTCATAGTTGATCAAAACCAATTATTGCAATATCCAGAGCAATGATGTGAGCTCCACCACATAACTGAATAAGATTAAATGTAATACAAGGTACAAGAGCCCTATCCCCTTGCTCCCTTGCACTTCTGCATAACTTTGTAGATCCCAGAAATCAAGGTTATAGACATGTATGTGCTATCGGTTCTTATTTGAGACGGGTTGAATTTACACCTGAAAGTGACATGAAAGAACCAGAGCAAGCACCGATACAATGGCAGGGTCAAGTCAAGATCAAAATTATTGTTGCTTTCAATCGACTGCAGTACTCGTCTGACAAAGTCCAGGTTACATTTGTTCTGTTTTAGCATCTTGGCGGTTGGACACTATCTAGAACATCCACTGTCATTATGCTGTAACATTATTCCATATCTGCATAATGCTGGTCCTTTCTTCTAATCTCCATATGAACCATTTCGTTTACTCTATACTTGTTTCCATAATCTTACCTGTGTACTTAAGTGATTGTTGCTGTGATATGGTATATACTTAATTACGTATTGGATATCATCGACGGATGATCAAATGAATAAATATCTATCTATCAACGTTTCTGTAACAGCAAGATTTCCTAAGAAGATCAAGTGTACCTTGATCTTCCAGCAACGTGTATTACCACACGGTTGCTTGTATCATCCACGGAAGCCACCTTTAGGCACTTACACTGCGTGGGAAATGCTATTCTACTCCCAAGAAGGACTACCAGCAGAAACCCGATCCGCAGGGGTGTTACATAACTTGAAAAGTGACATTATGTCGATTTATTTGGCATTATTTAGGTTTTTTATGACATTATATAGCTTTTTTACGTGACAACCCTGTGGATTTCAGTTACAAAAACTAACAAATCTACCAAAAAGGCTGGAAGAAACCTCTGAGACCTTGCTAGTCAGCATGACCGTAATGCCAAATTCTACAATCAAGGCTGATTTCAACTTGAACGTTAGAACACTCTTGTCAGACTTGCCCAAAGGAAATTGAAATTTAGCGCTGTTGATAGTCGAGAGGAGATTCGGTAGACTGCTGGTGTGCGAGATCAGAAGTAGGACTATTCCATCATTTGGATGCTTATCGTATATCATGAATCGTCAAGCTTTATTTAACTGCTTAACAACTTGAATACTTCTGAAGCTGTGACTAATCGGCTCTAAAAAAGATATAACTGAAGAGCTCATTACGATTAAGAGCTCTTGGAAAGTTCCTCACGGAAGAGTTTTGAACCCTCGAATCACCCTCTCCTCCTCACCTTTGGCTTCCTTCGGTGTTGCATCAAGGATATAAAGAGGGTTGGTATTAATAAGCGCCCCAAGCAGTTCGACAATTACAGTAAGCAGTTTCGGTAAAAATAATTATGGGGAGCCACGGGTGTCGAAAAGGTTAGGGCTTAAGTAGTTGATTTTGATCAGAAACTGGAGTCACCTAAAAAAGTTTTTTTTATCTTAAACAGTTCAAGCGGTTATGAAGTCGAAACTTATATTGGTCAAGATTATTCGTATCGGAAATGATTTTCCTCTTTAAGTCCATTTCACAGGAGCAGTATAAGGACCAATTCTAAGGTTCAAGGTCGAATGGCGATCAGAAGAAGTTGATCAAACAAGTCTAAAATGTGGCGCCATCATCCAACAAACAAAAAGGTTTGCTGTGTCTGTATATAAGCACATAATCAAGATTATTCAATCGCTCTAGATCAGCTGGATGAAGCATCACAAGATGCTTCTTGACTACTCATCAGCATGATCTAGGCTTCGTTTCTTGTCTCTGAACAAGCAAATGAAAGCATCGCAACTAGCCTCTATACCGGAAGCACGGTCTATCACACCTGAATCGACCACTGCGAAAAGCGCATAGCTGCTGTTAGTTGGAAGTGTTAGGGATCAGTTCGCTATAACAGCCCATTCACCACATGACCGCTAGACGGCTGACGATTCCTGCTATAAAGTAGATGGCAAGTAGGGTTTCTACTTATCTCCAGATTGGAATCCATCGCTCAAGTATAATTTATTTAGCTGTATTTCATCCCAGTTATCAATATTGACCTAACATAGGTATATTGCTGTACCTCAGAGGTTAAGTCCAAATAAGTAGTATTGAGATAATTGTATTTGAAATATTTCTCTTGCATTGTATTGTGTGCGACTTGACATGAGTTAAACATTCGTAACTTCCTTATTATTACACATAGATGGACGCTGCATGTAGCAAATGAAAATTCACAATAATATCATAAGCTTAACATATTAAAATCATTTTTGACAAAAATGGACTTAACCTAGTCTGGCTCTGGGGTACAGATTTGGTTGAAATTGCCGCTAAAAGTTCGAAATACTAGATTACAGTGAGTTTCATATAACAGTATCCAAACAGTTTGAAAGTATCAGTTTGTGACCGTGTGTTGGAGCAAATATTGTTAACAAAAAACTTTCTTCAACGTTAATTGCTGCTTGTATAGGCTTCAGAGATATGTAGGCTCGGTATCACCGACAAACATAGAAATTCAAAGCTCTGATTTCATAATATTGACAGTATCAAATAAGAAACTTCAAATCCTTTCAAAATAATACGGGAATGAATTATAATATAAATATGGACTACAAGCCCTATCAATTTTCTAATAGAGCACCCTATGGGGAATGCGTTTTATAGTTCCTTATAAGTCAATAAATGAAGTCCGATCTTTAAGGCTTCTTGCACAAAGACACTGGATTGGCGGAATGTGTTGCATATGAGGATATACTTATTCAATCCATGTAGAGTAAAATACCGACACAAATAAAATCATGTCAGTTCCTCGTTGGCATTGCCATCAAATTGCTCTAAAGATAGTCAAGTGGCTAGGCTTCACAACTTCATAGTTACTGCTGTACTATAATTGACTTCACCATTTGCAAGAATTCCTTTTTTCTTTCACGACGCCCATGGAGCAATCTTGCGCGTACCACGGTGGCGCCCTCTTCATTATAAAGTAGATTAAGGGGCTTGTCATCAATTATTATCGAAATTCCGAGGAATTTATTAATTATTATTTCGTCGAGTGTCGACTTACGCTGCCGGCTAAGGGACAGCGGTATTTGACGCTGATGCTGCTCTCGATGTTTAGGAGCACAAGTCGGTTTATTAATCAAATACGCTCATTAATTAATATAAGTAAGCAAGAGGGAACATCGACAGCTAAATGAGAATAAAAATTTCTTAGACCACCCGTTTTTGATTCTTTCGCTTCGACTGTCTAAACATAACAATTAAAGGAGCAATGTTCATCGAATAGAAAGCAATAAACATTAATACTTGAAGCCTCTAAGTGTTACCTATGTCCAACAGATTCTTAGATATTGAAAATAACAAAACATCGACTAAAAGTGATGTATCAAGATGAATCAACAGTCAATATCTCTAGCATGCTTAGGATGATTTTCTGAAAACTGATGCGCAGTAGCCAGAGGTATTTTGTTTGTCTTCGTCTAATATTAAACAAGGGTTCACTCGCCTTCAAAGTCATTTCAAAGTCAACTTCTTTTTAACTGGCAACTCCCCTTTCTGACAGCAGCAAAGTCAAATCTACGGTCAATATTGAAATCCTTGTGGAATATAGGTCTGACCTATTCATCAATAATCGTACTACCCTTCTAGAAATTTTCTCTACTCACATAATCGACCGTCGTTTGACCTTGAGATGTGACCTTGATCGTAGATTATGATTCACTTTCTGACCTAGAATTTTTCGTTCTTCCGATTGCGGGTGTCAGACACAAAAGTTGATTTTGGAATAACTTTGAAGGAAGGCTTAAGGTCAAATTCAGGTCATCATTGGACCCTTATGACTATAACAGGGCTTTAGCTGGTTTTACCCGACACGTGTTCTGCTATGTTAGCATCTTCAGAGGAAGCTTAGAACAAGTTATTATTTATTATTTTTTTCTACACTAGAACATATTGTATTTTTCTTTTGTTACGTACTCCTGAATTCATCCAATTCTTCAACCTTACCTACCTTCTTAATATGATGTTAATTTCTTTAAGTACCCTGCAATGTGGATAAGGTGATGAGGATTTTAGACCATGATTTTGAACATGAACTTCCTTCTTCCAGGTGAAAGTGATGCTCCGCGTTTGCACCCCCACATCACCGCCTCCAGGGGGCGGTGCCAGTCCGGACCACTCCCCCGGCAGTAACAACAGTTTCTTCAGTCTCGATAAGCGGAAGAAGCAGGTGACGTTGACGGATCCAACTACAGGCAGCGGAGGAGGCGCACCTGAAGATAGAAGGGTGGGGGTAGCGGCACCGAAGATGTTCGCGTTTGATGCCGTCTTCTCGCAGGATGATTCTCAGGTAATTTTTTCATGTGTTGCTCTTTTATTTTACATCTTTGCGAATAGAGTCTGCAAGTCAGCTAACTATGCCAGTAATTGAGAGTAAGACGTCTCAGGGATAGAAAGTGAGTGTGGCTGTCTCACTTTTGGAACTGTATTTCTGAACTCTAATAGAAGAGTCGCTCCATCAGTCTGATCTCTAAAGATGAAGTTGATTATGAGTATAACCATTATTTTGCCGAAAATGAGTTGCAAGCAAACGATCAAACAAAGTATTTATTGCCCAACAGACAACCTAGTAATAAAGAAAAAATATGCTAGATGTATTGCGAAACCGAAGATAAATAACCGAAACATTAAAAACAACATTTGCCAGAGTTTCCAATAAGTAAGCATCAAGAAGAAAAGAAAACGTTATAACCGTATTTTCCATGCTTGCTCAGAAAAGATGGTACATTCTGAATGTACTACCCTTTCTGTGTTCACGCAGACAAAAGGCTATAACTATCTTCCGGTAGCTCAGATGGAGGCAATAGTATCGTTTTTCCATTTTATCTGCTTGAGGATCAAAAACTAACGGGATCCTAGAAGGCGAAGTCTAGCTCTTGGATGCTCTACTTAACCTATCCAAATAATAAATTTACTTAATCAAACGAAACTTTGACAAGCAGCTGAAGAGGCCTCAAAACAAAGGAAGTTGATAACTGACTGACAAACATACACATATACATATATACACATAAATAAGCATTAATGGACAAAAGTATATAGACAAATTAATATTGTGCTGTATTTCTTTTTAACCTGTCTTATTAATACATCAACCTGTATCCATAATTCGTTATAGCATAATACTCACTTATACATAAATAGATTCATTAGACTCCCTTCAATCAAAAATCAATTGAAAAAAACTGGAACTATGAAAGACAAAAATATATAGACAAAGCAAAACAATTATAGAAAAAAGAAGCAAAGTTCATTGAATTATAGAAAACCAACAATATTTTGTAGCATAACCATTATTATCAATCACCGCCTGGCATCGTCTCGGCATAGACTGTAGAAGTTTCTTTATATAAGATTCATCAATCTGTCTCCACTCTTGCTCTAAAGCGGCAAAAAAGTGCATCCTTGTTTGAATAATTTTTATCTCGTATTTGTTTATCTAAGTATTCCCATAGATTTTCAATGGGGTTTATATCGGGAGACTGTGAAGGCCATTTGAGAACTGGTACGTTTTCATTCAGAAAGAATTTCTTTGCGAGATTTGAAGTGTGCTTCGGGTCATTATCTTGCTGGAAGATTGATCTTAACCCTTTCGGTACGGTTGCCGGATATACCCGACAGGAAGCAATATGGCCCTGCGGCCTGGTGACGGATATATCCGTTCAAGGTTATTTTGTTTAATGACACTTGTGCCGTTTATTTCCGACTCTTTTGAAAACTTACATTCACCGAGAGACTGCCGACGACTTTATCCGACGTATAACGCATTGTGGATGGCCTGCTGTCGGAATAACCCGTCAATGTCGGAAATATCCGACGGCAGTCGAGCATGGTAGCATGCCATGTACCGTAAGCTTCAGAAGCGTCAGTTCGTTCGATCATGTCAAACGAGGAGGCCAGTTCGTCTCAGGGCACTAAGCGGCCGAAAAGGCGTAAAGTAGATTGTAGCGGATATTGTGGTTTAACTGAGGAGGAAGTCAATAGTATTTTAAGTCTGGTAGATGAAGATATTTACTTGTCTGACGTTAGTGAAGAAGACCCCTTTCTCGATAGCGGAAGCGAATATTGTCCATCTTCTGAGGACTCTGAGAGCGATCTGGATGAATTGGAACCGGAAAATGAACAAGAAAATCAGCAGGAAGAGGTAGGAAACGTTGAAGATAATATTACTCGCCAAACAGTTCTGGAAATAATTTGGACAAAAAATGAGTTTCTACCGAAAATACACGAATTTGACACGACCAATAGCGGTGTAAAAGACCAAAACCTCGACGAAAACTCAAAGGAAGTCGACTATTTTCTTAGTTTGTTCACAGAAAACATAGTGGGTGTTATTTTGGATGAAACAAATAATTATGCACGTCAACAAAATGCAAAAAACTGGAAGCATTTAGAACGTTCCGAATTTTACGTTTTTCTGGCTTTGACGTTGCTTATGCCTCGCAATAAAAAAGTGAACTTGAAGGAATATTGGTCCCAAAACCACTTACTGCTTTCACCTGCATTTAGCAAACATATGTCAAGGGACAGGTATTTTCAATTACAAAGATATTTGCATTTCTCCAATAATGAAATCGCTCCACCTGGTAATAGATTGTTCAAAGTTGAGAACGTGCTAAATATATTGAAAGAAAATTTCCAGTCTCAATTCTATCCATTTCAAAATTTGGTTATAGATGAGAGTATGATTCTTTTTAAAGGAAGACTCAGTTTTAAACAGTATATCAAGACCAAGAAACATCGTTTTGGAATTAAACTCTACGTGTTGTGTGATTGCGAAACAGGAATTGTCTTAGACTTTATAATATATTGTGGAAAAGACACTAATATAAAAGCAGAAGACAAGAATAATCTTGGTACTACAGGGGCCGTTGTTGCAAAACTTTTAGAGCCATACCTCAACAAGGGACATTCTCTTTATACGGATAATTTTTACACCAGCCCTACACTTTCAACTTTTTTGTTACAACATAAAACAAACTCCTGTGGAACTGTAAGGCAAAATAGGAAACATATGCCAGTATTTGATAAAAAATTAAAACAAGGAGATACTGACTGGAGAAATAGTGAAAATTTATTGGCAATAAAATGGAAAGATCGGCGGGATGTTGTGATGCTGACCAGTATGCATGAAAATAGAATGGTTACTTTGCCGAAAATAAATCGATCTACATATGAAAATGTAATAAAGCCGTTATGTGTTCTGGAATACAACCGTCAAATGGGGGCTGTCGACAGATCAGATATGATGCTGAGTAGCGTAGATTGCACTCGAAAATGTCTGAAATGGTATAAGAAGTTATTTTTCCATTCGATTGACATAACATTGCTAAACGCACATGCAATGTTTTCCACAAGACATACTAAGAAGACTTCATTCGCCAATTTTCATCTAGCGGTTATTGCTCAACTTATAGAAAGGTAAAGAATTCTTTGTAGTTTTCGATCATATTTGCTAAATGCTTTTTTTTAGCAGGTATGGCATAGTAAAATCTATACATTGCGATTTGGGCAATGCCAGGCTTCAGAATAGACACTTTCCGGTGTCAGTTCCACGAAAACCAGGCAGTACTAAGGTTGGATCCAGAAGATGTTGGGTTTGTTCCCATACAAAGCAGAAGCAAGCAAAAGAAAAGAGTCCAGCTATATGTGCCCAGAATGTGACGTTGGATTATGCGTGGTCCCTTGCTTCAAAATATATCACACAGAGGCTACTTTTTAATGTTTAATGTTCTAATGTTTAATGTGTTTATGTTTTCTGTAACTTTATCTAATAAAATAATTGTTTTAATATAACTTGCTCATATTATTTCATAAAATGTGGGTAGTTTTCTTAGGTGACGGATATTTCCGACGGCAGGCCAATGACCAATGTAAAAGTCTCAGGCCGTAGGAATAAAAATGTTCAGTGACAAGCCGTACCGAAAGGGTTAAGGGCGTATTGTCTTCCATATAGGGAAACATGACATGCTTTAGTATATCTGTATATACAAACTTATCCATAATGCCATCTATTCTATGTAAAGGTTCCATTGACAGTAGGCAAAGTGTACTTGGGGTTCAATCTTTGTCCACCAGGACGTCTAACGTAATGAACACCATCTGATCCATACATATTGAACTTAGATTCGTTACTGAAACATACCCTGTTCTAGTCACAGATGCTCCAATCAAGATGCAACCGTGCAAATTGTAATCGGTCCTTATGGTTACGGATCTTTGGAGGAAATTATTTTCATTAATCTAAGTGATCCAGCATTTAGTTTTCAAGGCCGACCACTTCTCTTAGAGGCTTCCAAGATACCTTTTTGTTTATATTTGTTCAGTATTGCCCAAACTGCTTTACGCTTCAGCTTCAAATTTTTGGCAATGTCGACTTGACGTTGACCATCTTTGTATAACTCATTGATCTTAGTTTTCACATCGAAAAAAATTTCACCACGCGGCATGGTCTTAAAATCACTCAACTTATTCGACAATACTTGATGAACACAACTAATCCTCTTCTGACACGAAACTGTACTAACCTAATGTTGAAAAGAATTTGTCTACATATTTTTGGCCCTCATAAAAAGGTGCTTATATTCAGATTTGTATTGTGTTCATTGCAGATAATGTAAAAAGAAGGAATTTATTTTTTCTACTAATAACGCATTTGTTTATGGAGCAATGAAGTATGCATTCGTTTTCTAAAGGTATTTAGGTAAATATTCATATTTGTCTATATACTTTTGTCCATTACTGTATATTACGTATTTGAAAATAATAATACTTATATCTTGCAAGCGCATTTTACTATAGAAAAATAAACATGTACTTCCCTGAACGATGTATAAGCATTTTCCCATTTAAGCTCAGTTGAAAACACATTCGGCCAATACAAACTTAATCAAAATAGTCACGTATACACCTTGCAAATCAAGTTGCCAGCTCGGCATACGCCATGGCTGCCAACCATGCGGGCCAGAATGTAACTCAATCAAAACGAATTTCCAGCGATGAAAATTTCACAAAAGCGTTCGCTCATAAACTTTCCTGTGCTGGCCGAAAAAAAATCGTACGGAAAGCATCATAAAAACAAATTTCACCGAAGAAAAAAGTAGGAGCTGGACTGGTGCATTGCTGCAGACGTATGTACACGGCCGATTCGTTAAAATATTTGCTGGAAATGCCTGTGTACTCGCGGTGCCCTGATCGATGCCTGAACGGGAAAATAAACTACAGCAGGCATCAGTGGTGGTGCTGTAAACGGTATGTTGACTTTCAACTAGAAAACAAATTAAGCTTTCA